ACTCAAGTTCTGTGAGGAGATTTCTGTGGGTGACAGGTCAGGAGGGCTGGCCATCTTTGATCTTCCCAGACTGATCCTAACCTCATCTCCATATGGGTCTATCCTAACCCTTACTTCATCTACCTGGATTCATAAATTCTCCAGTGTGGGCCATCATGAAAATAAGGAATGTTTGGGTGACTCCCTGTCTATCATTCTACCCTCTTATACTCTCACAATCTGTCTCTCCTGTCCTCTATATTTGACTATGCTTCTACCTCTCCAACATCACTCTGATGGTTCTCAGACATGACTTTAGGACTTAGTTTGAGTCATAAGACATGAGACATATATGAGGATTTCTCACCTGTGACAGAAAGGTGTAGAGGGTCACTTGGGTGTGACCAGTTGTGGGGAGAGTCATTGAAAGAGCCATAGCATCTGTAGGTCTCTGCCTGGATCACAGGACCCAAAAGGAAGTTGGCCTGGAATGTACCATTGTGACTGTGCATCGCAGGGAGCCCCCATCGCTGAGGCACCCCATCCCTGGACAGATGGAATCTGTGAAACTGGTGGTCAGAGCTGCAAGACAAGGTCACGTTCTCTCCTGACATCACCACAGGGCCTTGCTGGGCTGAGAGAGATGGTTTCTTGTTTAGATCTGGAAGAGTAGAGACAGTTAGAGGGGCAATGCCTATCCACAAGTCCTTCACTCCTAACTGAGGGCGATTCACTCTCCCTTCTCTCTCTCTCTCTCTCTCTCTCTCTCTCTCTCTCTCTGTGTCCTGTCCCCCCAATTCTACATTATCTTGCTGAATCTCAGACCTCACTCCTATACCCACACATTTTCCCCCAGTTGTTTTTTTTTTAATAAAAAGTTTCTTTCTCTACTTGTAATGTCTGGTTTTATCTCTATTTTAAAAAATGTTATTGGTGGGTTTTAGTGGTTAAGAGCGCTGGCTGTTCTTGCAGAGGACCCAGGTTCAATTCCCTGCTCCCACATGGTGGCTAATAAGTGTCCATAACTCTAGTTACAGGGGAATCTGATACCTCTTCTGACCTCCAAGGGCATTGCACAGCATGGGTGCACTTACACACATGCAGACAATACACATATACATATAAAGTACAATAATAAATAAAATATTAAAAATGTTATTGGCATATATTAATTATACATAGCGATGTGCTTCATTATGACATTTTTTTATGTTTATATAATGCATTTTGACCAATTAACCCTGTATTGCTCTTGCTTCTGTCCCCCTCACATTCCCACTGATGGTTTTCTTCCTTTC